TGACTCCAATTTTGATTTATATGCATTAATTATCATAATTCTCTTACCAGAATCTATTCGCTGAAATTGTAACATTTTATTATTGTAAAACCAGAATAATATTAAATGAAAAAAATATTCATTTAATGCTTTAAAAAAATTCATAAAAATTACAAAGTATATTTTTTTCTTACCTTTCCTTTCGCATTTTTTTTTACTGAAGACCGGCCTACAGGTTGTTGATGGTCCATAGTAATTAAAAAATAACAAAAAAAACAAACAAAAGAGGTAATATTTCGCTAAGGAATATAACTAATTATCAACAAAAATGTGTGGTGATCGCAAGAGTAAATATATACGCGCAATTGGAATCAAACAAGTGACACCGTGTTAATACAGCACACTCTGTAGACAGCTGCGACCAACACCAACGCTCGCGGTGGTGCCTTGTTTTGTAGTGGGGATGCGCAAACAAAACGAGTTTTCGTCACCCGAGCGGTTCATTCTTAAATGGAATAGAGTATAGAAAGAATAGAGTTACTGCCGTTTTCACGGGAAAACAATAAAAAAAAAACGTAATTAGATAAATGGATAAACATTTACTGAAAAATGATAAAAAGTGAGTTACGTCCTTCTTCGTTGGGGGCGTCGCTGTATCACTATCGTCTAAATTAAAAAAAAAAATCATTAGTGATACCTAAATTTAACAATTAGTTTAAAAATTATTTTACCAAAAATGTCACTTGAGGCTGGACTCCACAAACTTTTTTTATTTTGGACTACTTGCTGACATACTTTTCTCTTTTGTTTATTACCACTATGTTCCTTATAATAATTGTTTTCATTGAAGATTCATTGGTAGATAAATCTGATGTTGTTTTAGCAATGTTGGCCTTTTCTTGAGCAATATTATAATCCTCTTTAAACAAAATAATTATTACAATACAGGGTTGTTTGTAATAAAATAGAATTATCCATAACAAAATCAATTTTCGGACAACACCCAGACATACTAAATGCATGTAATCAAGCGAAAAACAAGTAACTACATCAAATGAAGGCAATGTAGATATAATAGATAAATTACCAACATGATGATCTTCATTGTTCATGTTAATATAATTAGCATGTGTTCTTTTTGGCGGACATCTTGAAAGTAGAGTATAAGGGAAACACATTCTATTTAATAAATATTTTCCTTCATGTTCGCATCTAGAGCATGAATAAAATCCTGAATGTCCCTTTGTTTTCAATAAAAAAGACTTAGCCGGGGCATCACAGCAAAAGTTATCAATTTTCAAATTATAAACTTTGTTATTTATTAAAATTCCAGTTTCATTCAAAAGTTTAGCTTCAATTATAAATTCTTTCATAAATTCATTGCTATCGGCTGGTTTTTCTTTGCCACAATAAATACCAATTGGAAACACATGTTTTTCTGGACGGATGTATGCCAGTATTGGCCAGAACTGTTCCGAGTTACTTTTAAATAATGGTAAGCATCAACTCCTACCACAATGCAGATATCTGTCTCACCTTTTGGCAATTCTGGTAAATTATTTTTGATCCCATTCAACAGACCAAAATGGTAATATGTCCCTGGTTCAACAGTATTAAAATTACTATAGGAGTCGGCAGATTTTGTATTCATTACAGTCCTAGAATCTTTAGGCAAAAATTCAAAACATTTATGTTGCTTTAATAAAATTAACAGTTTATTTAGGGCAGTTTGAGGTATATTAAAATCAACAGCCCACTGAGAAATCAATTTACGAAAAATAAAAATTTGATCATTTGTTTCATTTAATAAATCATCATTTTCTTCTTCAGATTCTGACAAGGAGGATGAGAATAGGCATGATGTGTTATTAGCATCTAATTCGTTAAAAAATTCTAAAAAGTAATCTTGATTTTGATTTTTCTTCATAATTTTGATTGACCAAAGATTCATTTATTATTTCATTAGTTGAGATTTTCACTGGTTGAGATACTGGCACGTTAATACAAATATGAACATTGGATTGAGAATGTTCATCATTTATTAGTGTATAATCTGTGACTTATTAAAATAATGTGCATAATTTCTACTATTTTGTAATTCTTCTTGAACACGTCTTCGTTTAGATCGAGCACTTAAATTTTATTCCTTATTAAAATTCATAGTTACTAAAAATAAATATAAAAACATGCCAACACAAATATAATTAATTATTAAATAACATTGTTTAAAAAAAAATCATATACACTAAAATAACTATAACCGGGCCTATCCTACATTTTGATCCTGTGCACGCCTTTGATAATTAGGTATATGCTAGGAATAATCAACAAACTTCACTAAGTAAATTGACAAAAATATATTTTTTTTTTCATTATAAAATTGTTTCGAATTAATTGAACCAAAACGCTTTAAGACTAAAAATATATTATAAACTTATAAAGTTATAAACAAACATTATTAATTATTTTCTAAATAGAAGATATGATTTGTAATTTGCGTATGTACCTACCTACATATAAATATCATATGTGTATCATATTAATTTGATATCTCAGTATCTTTGGGACCCTATAACCTAACTCTTATGATTAAATGAACTAATTGTCCGTCAAATTTTAGTTTTCATTTCATTATAATAATATGAATCAATTAATAAAGTAGGTAGTCTTAAAAGTAAAACTTTTGGAAAATCTGAACCAGCAGTAGGTATTCACATCAAAATTTGCGGCTTGAATAAATTATCTATCATTTAAGAGTTTAGGACTTTAGGTACTCCTTACTTTTGATAGATTGTATAGGTGTTATTAATATTATATATTTATTATTATGTAAAAATATTTATGTAATACATACTACATACAATAATTATGTAAAACTTAAACTTAACTTAATTATATAAATTAAAAACATATAGGTAGGTTAGGTAGATACATTTTTATTGACTGGTTATAATATGTATGTAATATGACATATAGTGTATAGGTAGCAAAATTATACAATGATTTAGGCAGTGTTGTTAAGTATTTGAGTAAATGTATTTAAATAGGTACTTTTATAGTATTTAGATATTTCTTAAATACATTTTGGTAAAAGTATTTGGAAAGTATTTTAGTTACTGTCTTGGACGTATTTGTAATTGAAAATCAAATACTTTTTAAAATTCAAACAAGAATCATTTGTCAGTCGTCACTTATTTTTTTTTTCGAAAATTGTTATAGTACTTTATTTATAATATTTTTTCGTTGATAAATGTTGAGAACTAAACTTAAATTAATTAAATAAATAATAAATATTATTAATAATAATAATTTGGCGAACAGATTAATAGAAAAGTATTTGAAAATTAATTAAAAACATTCCAAGTATTTGTATTTATATGTTAAATACTTTTTAAAAGTATTTGAAATGTACTTTAGATACTACTTAAGATACTTTCTGAATGGATGTATTTTTATCTGTATTTAAATACAATTTCAAAAGTATTTTTATAAGACTAGATATAGGTATAATATTATGAATATTACATTATACTACATAGATGATATTCATAATAATATCATTTAATGCTAATGTTAATTTTAAAAATACTTATTATTTTCATTAAAAGTATCAATAGATATATTATACTTACAAATTGCAACCGAAGGATCCAAAAATCTATTTAGTATATGTAATGGATATTCTAAATCTTGCTAGTATTGTCTGCATGTAATATGGCACTGGCACTTTTCAATTAAAATTATACAGGAACTATGTAATAACTAGGTATGCTATAAAATATAATTGAATACGAGTATATTAATAACAATAGGTAGGCAGGAACTTTATACAGATATACTGTTTAAAATATCTGTACCCTATATATACTTATTACTTACGGAAAATGCAAAAATACAACAGGTAGATTATTTGTAAAAGTATAGCTATTATAGCAGTTGCCAATTAGCTACAATGGAAGTTGCAATATTACGTGAATATATAATAATTAAATATTAAATAACCGAGTATAATATAGTGTACTTATAGTAGTGTTATGGTCTCACCGGGTTGATCCGCCGAAACCAGGTATCGTTGAGTTCGTCAATTCGGAAGTCTTTCGACAAGGAAGATGTAATGTGATAATACACTGATAGGTTTAGTTATTTAAGTCCAATTATTTATTGAAGACAAAAATTACTACACACTATGTTTAACTGACGCAGACATACATAGACTGACTCGCCCGTACGGGACGGTATTCCATTGTACGTATCTCTAATGTCAAGTCAGCGTTCTTTCCCCACATTACAAATTGTTCATATGATATAATATTATAATGCTAAATTATATAATAATAATAATAATAATAAGCAGGGCTCATAAAAGTAGTACTAAACACTAAACAAAAAAACAGGCAACAGCAATCGTGACTCGATACTACTATAAGATATAGCAAGTCGTCAGTCGTCTGCAGACAATGAAATGTAGACTTTGTTATTGACAACTATAAAGGCACTATTGTAGACAACTTTACTATAGACACTATTGTAAACGACTAATAAATTATTAAAGACACTAATATTGTATACACTAGACAGTTGTAGACTTAAGCGGACGCTTAAATACCATATGGTGTATGGTATAATTTTTTTTTCAAAAACTATGCGTTTATTATAATATTACTACAATGTTTGATTATGATCAGGGTTCAGCACTAAAAGAATTTATACATATATATCATGGATGTAGTAAAACATAGTAGGTATAGTCAGTGGCGTACCCAGGATTTTCAAATGGGGGGGGCTAAACAAAGTAAATTCAAATTTGACATCATCTTAACAATTTTCAATAAAGTCTTATAACAGTTAATTGTAATATTTCATTATAATATAATTCTTATAACACATACATAATATATTAGTGATATATTTAATTTGTAGGAACTAGGAAGTAGGGACTGATTTATTATACAAAATATGTTATACGATAAATTATTTTATTTTATATAGGTAACTTCAAAATACATATTTTATTTTTTACATTATTTGCTCCAGTCTTCTAATTGCATCCTTCTGGGTGCCTTTTTGGAAAATAATTTAATTATTTCATCCTCACAGAGTAGTTCTTTTTTGTTAATATTTGTTAATGCCAATCCATTGAGTCGTTCTTCCGACATGGTTGAACGTAGATATGTTTTTAATCGTTTTAGAGTTGAAAATGTACGTTCAGGCGTCGCCGAGGTGACTGGCAATGTCGCAAACAATTGTAAAAGTATTTTTATATTTGGTACGACAGTTGTGCAATGGGGTAATGTATCAATAGCTGAATCTGTTTTAATTTGCTTATTTTTCCATTGGTGTCTCCAAATGCGCAACTCTGCTTTAAGAATAGAATTATCATCAGTTGAAAGATCTTGAGCATAGATAGAAGCCGCTTTCAAAATAGTTTCATCATCGTACATACTAAAATTTGATGGAATAAGTCCCTGTAAAGGTATTATATCACTAAGTCGTTGATTAAATCGTGCATCCAA